CCCTCCACATATATCGCCATGTCTTCCTCTCTTCCATTTCTTGACTCCCAAGAAACACAACAATCTCTCCCCAAAAAGAAAACAAACCCTAATTCTCTCTCTCTTCCCCTCGAATCTCAAGAAGAAGAAAAATAATCATCCAATGTCTCCTTGATCAATCCAGAACAATTCTCTGCAACATTGTATTTTGATTTTTCTCTGAATTTTTTTCAGGGATGGGAACGAGAAATTCATGTTTTCAAGAAACATTTGTTTCCTTCTTCGTTTTTATTGCATTTTTAGTTGTTCATCGAAAAGTAACATGTCAAGAAGATAGAAGCTTGGATAATCCTGCAGCTAATCGTCTCTATAACCAATTCATCTTCGACAAAATATCGAATCTAACAGAAGTTTTTGAGGATGACATTAAACGAGAACTCGGTTTCTGCATTACCAATGTGTTAGTTTTTATAAACTCTTCTTCTTATATATTAAATTTCCAAACCTAAAAATTAACCAATTAAAAAATGATTATGTTGCAGAAAAGAAGATTATAACGAAGCCTTTAATTTCTCTTCAAAGCCAGGTTTCTTAAACGCATGTGGTAAAACCACAAAAGGTAATGCATAATATATATATAATCCTCTGTTTTCAATTGATAAGAATTAAGATTTTGTACATTTTTTGTTGATGTTTTTTGGTATGTGTGAATAGGTGACATGATGCAGAGGATATGTACGGCTGCAGAAGTGAAAATATACTTTAATGGATTATTAGGAGGTGCAAAGAGAGCTACGAATTACTTGAAACCGAATAAGAACTGTAATCTATCTTCATGGATGTCTGGATGTGAACCTGGATGGGCTTGTCGAACAGCTAAAGAAGTGAAAGTTGACCTTAAAGACGATAAAAATGTTCCTGTAAGAACTCAGCAATGCGCGCCTTGTTGCGCAGGCTTCTTCTGCCCTCGTGGTATCACTTGCATGATCCGTAAGTTACACAAAACATTCGAATCAGTCATCAAGAACCGGTCTTTTCGAGGCATTTCTAATATTGTTTCCTCACAATGATATGAAGCTTGTCCTTTGGGAGCTTATTGTCCAGAAGCCAAGCTAAACAGAACAACAGGATTATGCGACCCGTAAGTCTTTCATTTTTCTGAGTTTTGTTTTTGAACATTTGGTAAGATTAGTAGCAGGATTGTTGTTTTTGCAGATATCATTACCAGCTTCCTTCTGGACAACCAAATCATACTTGTGGTGGAGCTGATATTTGGGCTGATATTGGTAGTAGCAGTGAAGTTTTCTGTTCTGCTGGATCCTTTTGTCCTTCAACTATCGATAAGCTTCCTTGTAGTAAAGGGTAAACTAACTAAGAATGATGATTCAATAACTTTCTTTGGAGATTCTTCTTTCTATAATCTCAGCTAAACCAATCTTTTGTTTGCTCTAGACATTACTGCAGGACAGGTTCTACTGCTGAACTAAGTGAGTGATCCTCTTTTGTACAAACAACATTATATCTTACGCCAACTTACGGTCTCTTTGTCTCTGGTGAATTTGCAGATTGTTTTAAGCTGGCAACGTGTAATCCAAGATCAACAAATCAAAATATCACAGCATATGGAATCATGCTTTTTGTGAGTCATATAATTGAACTCACCCTAAGCTCTTCATGGGTATATGTTGGTTTATTTCAAGTCTTTGTTGACTTGTTTCTTTGTAGGCTGGTTTAGGTTTCTTGCTCATAATCTTATACAACTGTTCGGATCAAGTACTTGCGACGAGAGAAAGAAGGCAGGCAAAATCCAGGGAAAAAGCAGTACAGAGTGTGCGTGAAACGCAATCGCGCGAGAAATGGAAATCAGCCAAAGATATTGCAAAGAAGCGTGCGACCGACCTACAACAATCGTTTTCTAGAACATTTTCAAGGAGGAAATCTATGAAACAGCCAGATTTGATGAGAGGTCTAAGCCAAGCAAAACCTGGATCAGACGCTGCTTTACCGCCTATGGACACGAAGAAGGGAAAGAAGAAGGAAAAGAACAAACTAACAGAGATGTTACAAGACATTGAACAAAACCCTGGAGATACTGAAGGGTTTAATCTTGAGATTGGTGATAAAAACATTAAAAAACATGCTCCTAAAGGCAAGGCCTTGCATACGCAGAGCCAGATGTTCAGGTACGCTTATGGCCAGATCGAAAAGGAGAAAGCCATGCAGGAGCAGAACAAGAACTTAACATTCTCTGGAGTCATTTCCATGGCTAATGATATTGATATAAGAAAGAGACCTATGATTGAAGTTGCTTTTAAAGACCTTTCGATTACTTTGAAAGGGAAAAACAAACATCTACTAAGATGTGTGACCGGGAAACTGTCTCCCGGACGTGTTTCTGCTGTGATGGGTCCTTCAGGAGCCGGGAAAACCACTTTCTTAACAGCTTTAACAGGCAAAGCAGCAGGTTGCACCATGAGTGGAATGATTCTTGTAAACGGGAAGGTTGAATCGATTCAATCATACAAGAAAATCATCGGTTTTGTGCCTCAAGATGACATAGTCCATGGAAACTTGACAGTGGAAGAGAATCTCTGGTTCAGCGCAAGATGCAGGTAAGTCACATATTACTTAGTGAAAAATTCAAGTTTTTCGACATATCTTATTCAACTGTATCCATGTATACAGGCTGCCTGCGGATCTCCCAAAGCCGGAAAAGGTTTTAGTTGTAGAAAGAGTCATCGAGTCACTCGGTCTGCAACATGTTCGAGACTCTCTTGTTGGGACTGTGGAAAAGAGAGGAATCTCTGGAGGTCAGAGGAAAAGAGTCAATGTGGGTCTTGAAATGGTGATGGAACCATCACTACTGATATTAGATGAACCAACCTCAGGCCTTGACAGTTCATCTTCTCAGTTACTTCTCAGAGCATTACGTCGTGAAGCTCTTGAAGGAGTGAACATCTGTATGGTTGTCCATCAACCCAGGTTCAACATAATAAACTCTCACATTTGGCTAATACTAAACAGAGGATTAGATCTTAATCTCATTTCATCCTTTGTCTCTCTGCAGTTACACTCTGTTTCGGATGTTTGATGATCTAATACTACTGGCTAAAGGTGGACTGATATGTTACCAAGGATCAGTCAAGAAAGTTGAAGAATACTTCTCGAGCCTCGGGATCGTTGTCCCTGAGCGTGTGAATCCACCTGATTACTACATTGACATATTGGAAGGCATACTGAAGCCAAGCACAAGCTCAGGGGTTACCTATAAACAGCTTCCGGTTAGATGGATGCTTCATAATGGGTATCCAGTTCCTATGGACATGCTTAAAAGCATTGAAGGGATGGCTTCTTCTGCTTCTGCTGAGAACTCTGCTCACGGAGGAAGCGCTCACGGGAGCGTTGTAGGAGAAGACGGAACATCTTTCGCTGGAGAGTTCTGGCAAGATGTCAAGGCAAATGTTGAAATCAAGAAAGATAACTTGCAGAATAACTTCAGTAGCTCAGGTGACTTGTCTGAAAGAGAAGTTCCCGGTGTGTATCAGCAATTCAGATACTTCTTAGGAAGGTAAATCCCCTCACATACTTTGTGAAACCAACCAATCAAACAGAGAACCCTTTCTTAAACTCAATCCGTGTGCTATATGCAGGTTAGGTAAACAGAGACTGCGAGAA